CTCTCCTCTCCTCTCCTCTCCTCTCCTCTCCTCTCCTCTCCTCTTACCCTTTGTTTTCCATTACCTTTTCAATTCAGGCCAGAGCTAAATGCCAAAGGAGCAAATGTCCTTCTTTTAATGACGCTGATTTAGGAACCATTGTATCATCTGACTCCTCCTACAAGTCTGCTTCCCACACCATACCAGCATTGCTGTTTCAGAGCCCGCCATCCTGTGAACTGCTAAATGGACATGCAGCAGCCAGCAGTAGCTGCTTTCCTTTTCGGTTTTCTTTTTTTGTTGTTGTTGTTGTTGTTTTGTTTGGTTTTGGGTTTTGTTTTTTTAAATTTATTTATTCTCAGTAGCCAAAGCAGTTCTTGGCCTATTACTCCCCCATGATTTTGAACTCGGGATGCAAACCAAATCAGGGCGGTCCCTGCTCCGGAGTCGGTGCGAGGCAGTGGAGAGGCTCCCGGAGGACTTGGCCAGCTATCCATCCATCCAGCGAGGCCCAGGAGGCTGGGGGTGGTGTGGGGAAGGCCGGTGCTAACGAAAGCATTCTGGTTGGCAGTGAATGTTTTTATTTTCCAGACTCCGCAAACCGATCTGTGTCTGCGCTCATCCATTCAGTGCATGCTCTCCTCAACAGCCGCTGCATCACGCTCTGTTCCTGTTCGCTGTTGACCGTGTGTCCACATTTATGTGTGTGTTTTATGTGTGTCTCTGGCTAGGCCTTCTCCATCCTTTTTTTTTTTTTTTTAATTCTTCCTTACTTTCTTTTCTTCTTTTCCTTTCTTTTCTTTCCGTTCAGTTGGTTTGTTTTGCTCTCATTCTTGTTTCGTTTTCTATAGTTTAATGGCAAGTATTTCCATTAGAAATTATTTTTGATTGATGCTGTGTTTGTAACATTTTTTTTCAATTATTATTTTTATATATATCTTCTTTCCCCACCTTTCCCTTTTTCCACACTATATATAAATATATATATATAAAAAATCTTTTCTTCTTTTGTCATTCAATCAAATTCCAACCAAGAGCCAGTCAAATCCACCACAGTCTCGCGCTGAGCTAGGAAAAAAGTTCTCGTAATGACATGAAAGTGGAGAATACAGTTCCCCAGGCCGTAAGTTCAAATCAACTCGAAGTTGAAAGTGTGACATGATGGCGTCATGTAACAAGCTAAGAATTGGTTGCATGACATGCCGTCAAGTTTCGTGCAGGTGCCGTGATTGAAGCATTTTTCTTGGATGTTGTATCAGTTGATGATTGGCCAGTCATGATCACATGTGCCTTTTTTGACTTTGTGCTGCCACAATTTTTTGCTGTGCTCATTTTCGTTTTGTTTTTGGTGCTTGCAGTGGTTTCTTTATTTGTCGTTTGATTTCTCGTCAGCGTTTTATGCTTCTTTAGATGTCACATAGAAGGAAAAAAAAAAGATGGATTCCTAATTCTTTAGAAAAAAAAATGGGATTGTTGTAACTACAGATAATTTGGAAAAAAAAAAAGTAGAGAGAAAAATGTGTGGTTAATTTTTTGCACTGAAAATCTTGTGATTATTTTTTTTTTCCGGAGAATTGGGGCCTTTTTCAATTGACACCTTTTTTTTCCCCTTAGGATATTTCAAATCACTTTCTAAAAATTTTAAAAAATAAAAAACAAAAACGGAAAAACCAAATCAAAACTAAAAAGACTAATGATAGTAATGGTAGTTTGCAAACTATAGCAACCAAAAAAAGCAACCCCAAGAAAAGCCTCATTGTATGTCTTTTCAAGAATTCCTAATTCTAAGGTGCCGTATTACAGCAACTCCAGCAAAAATTAATTGCTTAGAGGGAGGGAGGGATTGAGTGGGAAAAAAACCCATCGAGATCAAAAAGCAAAATGCATCTTTTTGTTTACAACTGAAAAAGGGTCCTTGACGAGTGTTTTTTATTTTTTTATTATATTATTATTTTTGGTGTTGTAATTGTTTAGACTGCTGTGTACGGTTTGCTGTTTGTTGAACCAACAGTGTGAAAACCTGCCAGCATGGATTGATATTCCGCATGACACTTTTCCACCAGAGTGGACCTTTTGCAGTTTCTAAGTTTCTTGATGTAATAAATCACCGAGTGTATAAGAAGAACCTGCTTGCTAGAAGGAGATAAGAGCTAATCCTTAATGATTAAGCATCCTACTTAAATGTCAAGCCTAGTCGGATCATGATTATATTTTTTTAAATAATTTTTTTATTTAAGAAATGTTAGCTTTACTTTTTTTTCCCCCCCACAAAAAAAAAGTTTACTCCAACAGTCTTTTTTATTTAACCTCCTGTAAATTGCCTGTTCAAAGTCCTACTTTCTGACACACAAAGGAGTAGATGTTATTGGCAGCTACGTCTCCACAGAAAGCTCATACACTGTCAGAGATGGCACCCCATTAAAATGTAGTACTCCCCTCTCCTGATGCCTTTCACCCTACAAAAGCCTGACAAGCAAGATTGTGATCTGGCGTTGCAAAGCGGCACTTAAAAATAACTGAAATGCTGCTGTCTTCACGTGTGTAGTGATGCAGATTTACATAGACACGCCCTAATTTTATTTTTATTTACTATTATTAATATTATTATTATTACTAATAGGAACAATTGTGTTTTTCTTTATCATGATCGTGACTACCTTGCTTACTTTGGGTTTGATCCGGTTCCCACTGAAGTCAAGGGGAATCCTTCTGTTGATGTTAAGTGGGAGCAGAATCAGAGCCAAGGCCTTCAAAAACAAAAAACACCAAAGCAGAAGCCCCATCCTGTCCCAATTGAAGGGAGAAGAAAGCATCCATTACTTTCAACGGGAGCAGGATTGGGCCCAAAAGAACAGGCTTGATTTTAATTTCATTTTCATTTTTAGGTCTTTTTTTCCCCCCCTCCTGTCTCAAATATTCCCCCCACACCTTCCCTACTTCCCCCTCCCCTTTTTGATTTAATTTGCAATGATCTTCTTCATTTTTTAGGGCAGCAGCTGAATGGGCCACATTTAGAAAAAAAAAAAAAAAGTATATATATATTAAAAAAAAGTGAACTGTTGGATTACATCTTTGACATATCAGCAAATATCAGTCGAGCTGAAGACTTCAGACCTATTCTCTCTTTGATTGTTTAGACTGTAACATTTCTTCAAGAAAAGTATCACATCTGCTGACTTCGAAGGACATGCGCTTGAAAACAAACAAACACATAAAGTAAAATCAGAGCAGGAGGAAGATGAACCGGGATTTCTGAAGAGACACTGATATCACCACAGCGGCTTTTCTTCAAACAGGAGATGCAAACCTGGATTCTGGCAAAGGAGTGCCTGTTTGCCACCAAGGATGCGGTTACCATGTGAGACCCATGGTAACAGTCACTGAGCATCTTTATCTGTCATTCCTTAGCTATATAGGGACCAAAGGACAAAACTTTTTACCGCAGACTTGTAGCTGTATGTAAAATATGGAAGTTCTTTCCTTTTCTCTGAGCTGTTCCTAAAACAGTTTTTGAGAGCGATTATATGAAATATGTAAAACCTAAAAAAAAAAAAAAAAAACACAAAAAAAACCACAAAAAACACAAAAACACCAAAAAAATAAAACCACAAAAAAATTACAAATGCTTAAATGCTTTTAAAATGGCAAGATAATAGTTCTTTGATACTTTGGGAGGTTCTTTGGTTATACATTAATTAGAGTCTATGAAGCTTTCATATGGTTTTCTGTATAATACGCAAGGATTGCGTTGTTAAAGGCAGGTAAGATGGATATCTATGAAAAGCAAAAAAAAGTAAATAAATAAATACATAATTAAGTACATAAAAAGGCATAGAAAAGAGAAAGGAAAGATGGTTGATATTAAATGGAAAACAAAAAGGTTTGTAAATGCTTCTAACTCTCCCCATTTAAAATCCTAATAGTTGTACAGAATTTAAAAAAGAAAGTTTAAAATACCTATATAATAGAAAAAAATTAGACAACATAAAAATAAAAAAAAAAACAAAAAAGCAAAAAAAAAATACTACATAGAAGTTAGCGTTAATGCTAAAAACAAAGATGTTGTAGAACTGTAATTTTGTAGAGTTTAGATTGAGCATAAATTCCTACTCTCTGCCAATTGCTGTTGGATGCTGTTATTTATCGAGGAGAAAAAGGAGAAAAATGGCTATTTTGGCAGCTTTTTTAACTGCAAGCATTCCAGCTATTAAAAAATAAACAAGACAAGACTCAATTCTGTAGACAATGCAAATGGGAAAAAAAGAAAAAAAAAACAGCTGTCTTTTTATCAGACGTTAGTTCTAACTTGAACAACAAAACACAGCTAAACGCTTCATGTCTTCATGATCTGCTGTCCGCAAAATTCCCATCATCCTATGCTTCAGTAGCTTCCATATTTGCTCTAGAAACCTTCAGGGCAAGGGATTAGCCTAGTACCTTAATCTTAAAAAAAAAAAAAAAAAACAAAAAAAAACTTAAAAACCTAAAAAACCTTAAAAAAAAAACCATAAAAAGTAAACTAAAGAAACAATCTCTTTGAAGAATTTCTGAAACTGTTTACAAGGAATTTTGAAAAACAGGGGGATGTTTAAAAAAAAAAAAGATGCTGGCTCTGTTTTCTGTAAATAAATTTGCATATTTTGTAGGACTTTTAATTGTAATGATAGAGAAAAAACAAGGAAAACTATTTAATGAAAGCACGATATTTATCTTTGGTAAATGACTTTAGAGCAGTTAAAAATAAGACATTGCTTTAAAAAATCTGACTCAGAAAAAACAATGAATTATTTAAGAACACATATATTTTAAAGAATATCATATTTATTATAATTTATTTTCACAGTCTTAAAACTTGATTTACATAATTCTCACACTTGTTTGCATCGATTGAGCAGTGTGATAATTAGTTTTGATTATTATTTGGTTATACTCTTGTTTTTGGTTACTATTTGGTTAATGCTCTTGTTTGTTTTTCTCAGTATTTTTTATCTCAATCTCAAACTTTCTTTCTCTGTTGTTTTTCCTTTTTCGGTTCCTTTTCCTTTTTTTTTTTTTTTTTTAATGTTAATTTTGATTACATATTGGGCCTGACCGTGCAGTCCTTACTCTTCCAAAACTCTCATGGGGATATAACGAGCATTTTGCCAGAGTAAGGACTGAAGCAAACTGAGCCCACAGCTAGGAAGTACAGATGTGTAACGCAGCTGCAGTTCCATACAACTGCTCTTTCACTCTCAATTCCCTAAAACTCCTTGTAATCTTCTGTAATTATTGAATGACGCTTTCCAGCTTAGCCCTAAATAAAGCACAGTTTAAAAAAAAAAAAAAAAAAGCCGTGTTCTTTACTTCTTGATGGCTTTTCTTAATGTGTTTGCTTTGAGAACAAAATGAATCTATTTCGACTCTTTCATTAATATACATTGTTTGAGTATCAGAACAAATCCCTTTGTTATATAAAACGTATCTCATTGGATTGAATTAATGACACTGTTTCATTTAATGTCTGCTTGATATTCCAGAGTGGTTTACCTTAAACCTAGTAGGTTAGAAGATCAAATAATGGTACATACAAATTAGTGTCATTGTAGCTCCCATTTGAAGCCTATTGTTTGATTTCACGCTCATGGTTTTTTCATGCTGATAACGATAGAGGCCAAAGCTCGGGACGTTGCTCCTTTTGCTGCTTTGGGAAAACCCTGTGAAATTCAGGAGTCTCCGGAGATGAGGCTCAATTTCTTCCTCAGCATCCCTCACATCTCGTGTTTGAATGGTTATTTTCCTTTCCCCTGAAATGGCTGTACCAGATCAGCTGAGCTGAGGTTGGGGCTGAGATCAGGAGCCTTCACATTCTCTCTGTTATTACAGCCGCATCTGCATTTGAACAAGTTGCACAGGCTAAATCTACCTCTAAATGAGACCAAAGTGCTTGTTCATAATTTGAACTCCGTAGGAAGGAGTTCTCTAAGTAGAAACTCCTATTATTAATACTATCAGTTACTTAAGTCTGTTCAGGGCAGTAGAAATAAGAAATATAAATAAGATTATGAATACAAGGAGGGAACATGGTCGGTATTTGCTTTTCTTCCAAAGGTAAAGGCAAATACAGGAATGCACATACACCAAACCTATCCCTGCTTTTCAGCAGAGAAGATGCTCTGCAGAGGACAGAGAGGCTAGAAATGTGGGCACTGAGAGAGAAAATGAGGACTAGATCTCCAATAAGAAGAGGTTTCTATTCCAAAGATTATTCAGCATCCTGTCCTGAGCTGCAGGGATGAACAGACAAAAGCACGGCCAGGTTGAGAGTAAAGTGTGGGGGAGGGCTGATGAAAATCACTACTTGAGGGAAGAAAACCTCACAACAAACAGGGAGGACTCAATTTCCCAAACTGGCATAACAAAGGGGGAACTAAAAGGTGCTGGCTGACTGTCTCCCCAGTTCCCAGGCCACCTTCATACCCTCCCCTGTGACTTTCAGTGTCCCCAGACCTCTTCCCCACCCTGCTCGAGGTAGATGCTGCATCTCTGCAGCGTGAGTCACATCCTGATGGATCTGCAAGAACACATCCCTGTCATCCAAGCAGGATGGGCTGCACCCCTGGGGCATCCAGCTGGGAGCACTTCTGGCCAATGAGATACAGCTGGGGGCTGTTGACTGATGATTGTGAGACAAGATTTCTTCTTGTTTCAGGTACCCTGCAATACACAGCAGATAAAATATCCAGTGTTGGAGGGCAATCAGCTCGCAAAGGGAGACCAGAAAACACTGTCAACATGACTCTATGACTTAGGTCAATGCCCCAAAATGTAGCACTTTGCAGAGAAACCTTTGGCGTTACTGGACTGGGGAAATTGGATGTGAGGACAAGCAGGGACAACAAGTGACACCAGAGAGACCATGCCTGGTACTGACCTTTCTCCCAGGGCATGCCCATGAATTACACTGCAAGCTCAAAATGTGATCATACCTCCAAGTTCAGCCCACAGTGAAGGGAAACACCACAAGGCTGTCAGCCTGCTGGAGGTTCATTTACACCAGAGGTTCATTTACACCAGAGGTTCATTTGCACTGGTGTGCTGGGAAATAAAGCACAGCTGTCACCACCCTGCTGCCTAAACCAAGTGATGGGTACTTGCCATGCCCAGCTCTCTGGCTGTGGTAGAGGCACAGACTAGAACACCATGGGCTGAAGCACAAATGTAGGGACAGTCTAACAGCTGGCTGAAACACCCTTCTCCAGGCTGTGCAGACACACCAGCCCTGATTTAAGTGTTTGTTTCAGGGACACTCTATGCTTCTCTCCAGGAAAAGTTCACCCACTGACACTGCAGGTGCTATAAAGCAAAACAAATTGCAACACAAGCCTGCTTCAGCATGGGCTCTGTTGTTGGGGCAGGCAATTGTCCAAAGAAACATCCCAATTTGAAGCAATGAAAATGAAGAGAGAGACCAGGTCTACTGAAAGCCTGTAGCTGCATGTCTGTGTGCACCAGCACACAAAACACGGCATTACAGAGGTTCAAAAGTGACTGCATGTCTGATGCTGGCTCCTCTCTCTAGTTTGTAGCTGCTAAGTCACATTACATTAAACAAAAGGGTTTTTTAAAGGTCAAACATTCATCTTTCATCAGTGTGCTCCTTGGTACCACTGTGATTACAGTAAACTTGAATCCTATATCCATGAGTAGTTCAAGCCAACCTTTGGTACAAGAACAGGACATGGTTTGCTGTCATTCTTTGGGGAGTTCCATGAGGACACTTCAACCAATTAGGTTGAGGACACCTCAACCAACCATTTTCGGGTCCCTGAGAAAGCAGTTCATACCCTCCTGGAGTCACTTTTCCATATCAGCATTTCTTGACACAGGCACTGAGCCACTCATCTTTTGCACACATAAGAATGTGTGAAACAATTCCTCCTCCCACCTCCATCCCATTCCTACTCCAGGCAGATGTCCATTAGAAAACTTTATTTTATTGGAGGATAATATGGGCTTCGAACAAGGCTTCAGAGTTCTGCCTGTTTTCCCTTTCTATAACAAATATCAACATAATGTTTGGAAATGTCCTTGCAAAGCAAGGTCAGGATTCTCCAACATTTCAGTTTCCAACAGCACATTTCTCCCAGTCCCAAATGTGACCTGGGGGCAGCAACTGTCCCATAGGTGTAGAACCATGAAAGGTGTTTGTGATCCCAGGAATAACTCACACATCCCAGGGGGATTGGCAGATGGGGAAACTCATCAGCAGGGACTTCAGTGCAACACTGTGCAAGATTTTGCTCTGCACCACCTGGAGAGGGGAGCTGCTGATGCTCCTCCTTAGTGATGCCCCTTAGAAAAGCTCATTTGAAACAGCCTGACTTGTCCTGCCAGTCCAGAGCCAATGAAATGGGAATAGGCTGCAAACTCAAGGCAGCCCCCTGCTGAGCCTGAAAATGTCTTCTGGAATAGCATTGCTGTCTACTTGTTGAGGAAATCAGTTCTTAAAGCAGTTTTCAATACCACAGCTTCTCTCTCACTACAGCAAACACATTAGAGCAAACACAACCCCAAAAACCACTCAGAAGGTTCCAAATCAGAGCCCTTGTATTTCATTTATTAAGGGTATGAGGTCACTCATAGAACGATGGAATTGTTTGAGTTGGGAGGAACATTTAAAGGTCATCTTGTCCAACCCCTTTGCAATGAGCAGGGGCAGGATCAGGTTGCTCAGAACCTCATCCCTCTGCACACTTGCCCTCACCATTGTGCAAGCTTCTTGTTAACACTCACACAACCTGAAACCTTCCCCACATTTCCTCTGAGGAGCCTCTGTAACATCAGCACTGGTAAACACACAACAAATGCTGGGGGGAAGAAACACCCCCAAAGCAAACATCCTCTCACATGGCATTCATGAGCTATCCTGAATTCTGGGTCTCAGTCTGGTAAGTTCTGAACTTGGCATGGACCTCCTCCAGCAAGAAAGAGGAGGGAAGGTGTTTCCTTGCACAGGTGTAGGTAAGCACATGCCCTCCCCTGTAAGCAACAGCCTTGCAGGGCACAGCACATTCACATGAGACACAAGAAGGTTCAAATTCTTCCCCATCCAGATGAAGTTTGCCTCTGAGACTCCTGACAAAGAAGATGGCCCTGATTATAAAATGGTAGGTCAGTCCAGGGAGGTGTTCACAACTCCTCCTTTATTTAGAAATCCACTCATCTTGTTTAGAAAGGTGGAAATAGAAATGGCAAGAGGAAGTGGGTGACTCTATAACCTCTCCTAGGAGACCCAAGCTCCTAACACCACTCCTGAATATGCTATACATTGAACAGGACATTGGCTCTCACCTTGGTACTCCTTAGCCTGCCCCTCATGGCATTTTCCTGGAGTGTGCTCATTGCTGGGTTGCACTTATTGCTTTCAGCACTCACAAAGAAAAGCACAAACATGCAGGTTGCAGTCAGCTGGTGAGTGGGTAGGTAAACTCTCCCCAGTGGGGAACCTCAGCCTGACATCCCAAAA